TGGTAACATGACCTTTGGGTCGTGGGTGGAGTCACGTTGCTTGCAATCAGGGAAAACTTGAGGTCAGAAGATCCACAATAGCAAGTCCAACATACACAACATGCAACACACAGCCTTGTTGCGGGTGGACAAAGAGAGTGACTGTACTCACTGGTTTCCCATTCCTGTGATGAGCATGGACAGAAGAGACAAACACACATAGACAATAACAAGAACACAATGACGCGTGCCCTGTTTGACTGTGGACATAATTACGCACTTTACATCACAAATATACAAAGCAAATATTAAAAAGCCAACTTGCGCGGATGTCTCTTTAACCAAGTACAAATGTTGATCCAGGCGCACCTGAATCACTTTGCATATCTCGACAAACTGTTGTGGCACATCACCAAACTGCAAGGGAGTCTGCTGCCAAGTTTCAAGCATACCTTAGTTCTAATGAGTTGCTTCCTGGAAGATACACTTCACTGGAAGTTAAATAGCTTTTTTTAAAGTTTCCAAGAGGTTAACATCCTCATTCAGCGTCTCGGTGAGTTCAGACCCTTCATTACACCTCGACATGTTTTGACATCTCGGCTCAAATGTTCCATACTGTATGTATAATGGGTAAGACATCAAAAGCCATGTTGAGGTTATGAATGTCAAGCACGGTGAAGATTTACATACAGTGTTGAAAAATAGTCCAACATTTAGCCTGACATAACAGAAATGTTTGACACGGCTGCACAATAATCTGCATGTACATACAAGTTTACGCAAACAAAAATCGCAGTACAATCGCAGCTTTCTGATTTTGTGTGTTACGAACTACATGATCAGCTTTTTGGCTAGCCAAATTTTGATTTAGGAGCGAGGTTCAGATTCGCCGGCTCTCAAGGAAAGTGAAGAACAAAAGGAAAAGCACAGTCACCAATGCACTTTCATCCGTTTATTGAATGGGACAGTCAAAGACAAATGTGAAAATGAAAACACTCGCAAGGAGCATGGAAGCATGGAGATGTTAACAGTAAACCGACCACAAGGTAAACTGTCAACCAGACTGACTCCGTCTTCATGATGTCACTCACTAGGCCATGCCCCTTAAAGGCATACATCCACACACAAACACTTTTGTGTGTGTGTCTGTGTGTGTGTGTGTGTGTGTGTGTGTGTGTGTGTGTGTGTGTGTGTGTGTGTGTGTGTGTGTGTGTGTGTGTACATTTATTTGGGGAGCTGGACCATTCATAAATATGTGAACAGCAGGCATAAAACAATCTGAATCAATATATTGTATTTTTTAGTCAGCTCACTGGGACGTACAACTATGGGGGGGGCACACGAACGAACGAGGGTTGGGGGTGGTCTCAGAGTGGCCACTATATTGCACAGATACGCTACCGCCATTGTCAAGATTCTAGTGTGCAATAGTCCGTGATATTTGAAAGGAATGGAAGGAGCCGCTTTAGCCACGATTTAAGCCGGCTGTGACCACTACCACTGCGGCGCAGCCCTCGCTCTCAGATCCACTGGCCTGCATTCATCTGCTAAATTACCAACATCGGCTCTCACCCGCCTCCACAGGAGTGTTACGCCACATACTGCATATGATTTATGCTGGTCAAGATAATAGAGCCAGAGATGTGTGATTTGCTTTTTGTTTTGCTATTTGCCAACTGTTACTCATTCATTATGTCATCATACCACAAAAACTTTATGTTTACTCACAAGAGCTCAATTCAGCCAGTGTCAAAGGATTAACCAAGTGCACTTGGCTGTTTTCTTCCTTGGTGTTGTTAAAAACAACAACAACAACAGTTCTAAAAATAATGTGAGTGTCATTAACGAGAGTTTGAAAAGAGAAGAGTTTACACCAGAAGTTAGATGAAAAAATAAAAAGAACGTTAAAAGCAGGAAGACTTCCTCCAACGTGTGAATTCCAGTCAGTGGGGTTGACTAGCAAGCCACTTAGCTGCCCAAAAACACGTCCCGTAGGCGTCACAGCTTGTTACCAAAGAATGTTTTCAAGATTTACAGTACATCAGTAGTTCACTTCTTTTTACACTTGTCTGGTTAGTTAAAACATTGCGTGAATGCTAATAAAGGTTTTATAGGGGTGAAAGTTAGCATGGATTGATCCACTTTACATGACAGTGGATCTGGGTCAACTTTTAAGATTCCACACTAATCTTCTCTACTGTCGTTAAATGTTTCTTAAAGGCAGCCTTCTTGATTTTATTGGAGAGTACAGTGATCCCTCGCTACTTGGCGGTTCGTTTATCGCGGCTTCAGTGCATCGCGGATTTTTTCAAACATTAAAAAAAAAATAATAATAAATTTAATATACATATACTGTATGTTGCTCCATAAATTAAAATAAATTACATACATGGGGGGGAAATTGCTGCTTCGCGGATTTTCGTTTATCGCTGGTGGTTTTGGTCACCATTAACCGCGATAAATGAGGGATTACTGTACTCTTTTATAAAGGCATTGAATTGTTGTTCCAAATCTGTTCTGTAATAACCACTTGACTTGGACTAATCGCATGATGCTGAAAATTATTTGATTCTGACATTTTTATTGTACTATTACTTGAGTGGTTTATGACACCTACGTTGAAATGTAAACAGTGATCTTTCGGTTTCTGTTCTGCAAAAATAAATAAAAAATAAAAATAAAAATAACAATAAAAAAAACAACGTAATGCAGCAACATCGTCGTATCGGGTAGCCAAGGTCATTATGGTGCAAAATATTCACCAAATATTTACTTTATAACAGTGGCAAACATGAAATGGTTCAGTGCAAACACACAAGTACTGGCATAGATTTCCTGTTTGTTCGCTTGTCACTCTTGTCAACAGCGCAGCGCCAGTGGTCTCTACATGTCAAATTCTCGCGCCGCTTATCCAAAATGCAAATCTGCTTTACCAATTGATAAAATAAGCGCATGAGGGGAAGAAGGGGGTCGGGAGGTGTGGGAGATCGGGAGAAAAGTAAAATAAAGGATACTTGAGGTCCGTGTTTAAGTAACAGCAGTAGAATAAACACGCCGGGTCATGTTCACGGCGAAACCATATCATCAGAATTCAGGGTTAATACAGCCACTAACAGAATGGAATGTGTGCGAGTGCGACGTGCAAAACCCAGTGCAACAATCCATTCGTTTAATCCAAATATTAAAAAGAAACCAACACAAGGCTCAATCGAGAATAAATGTCAAGAAATGAACACGTGACATTTTCGCAGCCCACAAGAGTCTAAAAGTATCGGCGGTAGTCCGTCCTACCTGCGGCGTGACAGCGAGAGGGGTCCGGCGTACGAGCTCAGCGAGCGTCTATCCACCAGCCGCCGCCTCGCCCACCGCTTACCTCTCGCAGCCAAAGGGCGGAGCTACTCACAAGGAAGTGGCGATAATTACGCGCCAATCTGCGGTGGATCTGAGACACACCACCTGTCATTTTTATGATGCCAGCCAGGTGGAATGTGAGATAGAAAGTAGTCTCCATGGCATATTTTGTGTCGTATTTCGATTGGAAAAATGTATTCATTTTTTTTTCTCGCTCATCATTGGAAAAAAACATTTTAATGGTTGCTATTAAGTTTGACCTACAGAAGCTTGCAAAATATGGATTTTTACCTTGCGTTGTAATTTATAGCTATGACTTTCTGAAAAAAAATCCACACCTAATTCATTATTATTATTATTATTATTATTATTATTATTATTATTATTATTATTATTATTATTGTGTTTTATTTTTATTTTGTTTATTATTATGAAAATATGTGTTACAGAAAATAGCAAGGGCGGATTCATTATCATTGCAAAAAAAATCTGGAAAAGTTTACTTGCAGCACTGGTTAAAAAATGTAGGATAAAATTGGTGACCTCATGCTCTGCCTCGCAGTGGTTTAAAAATTAAACCTCAGGATCTCAGAACTTTTATAACGATAAACTTATACATGTATAACTTAAATCAACACCACTTTATCACTTTTTGCACAAAAGCTTTGGTTCTCATAGGCTCTCATCATGCATGTGGACAGTGATGAGCCATTCAGGACCAGCATGGCCTTCTTTTGCGCTGACCTAAAACAATCAGAAGCACTTACATTCATTTACAACCTAAATTTGAATGCTTGCCCCATGAAATTGCATTTGCAAATCAATTGCCAGCAGTCTATTCTTTTTATTTTGTAGGATGTCTCTTGGCTGCACAGCTTTCAGCAGTGTACAGGTATGTGCATGTTAGATGTCTTTGTTTATTGTGTCCATCAGATTTCAGCCACTGTCTGCTGCCATCTCAATCTAATCTACACAGGAACTTTCAGAGTCAGGAATGTTGGTAGATGCAGCATAATTTATTAGTCATGAGATTCTTTATTGAACCAATCAGATTGCAAATTCCTCCTCAAACTGGGCCTTGCCTATTTCATTATATTTAATTATTATAGATTTACAATAATGCATTTATTATTATATATTTGATTCATTATATCATTGTTATATTTTCGGTGTCATCGTACTTTGCAGTGTAAAACACAACCTTTTTTTTAATAGACCGCTATACGTAAATACATACTGTAAAACAACTGCATCTGAACACAGCATATTTTACCGAGACATGTTTAACAATGAATACGGGTAAATTAACTAATCTGAGTATTTTCTTTTTTCTCATGATATGTTTTGGGGGCAAAAGCTTTTGTCTATTCGTTATTCCTTTTATATCTGTTGTCTAATTGATATACTGTATATATTTGTTATTCTATTTGTCTGTTAGTCTGTTATATATGTCACGTTGTTGTCATTGAAGTATCCATAGCACAGTCACAATTTTAATTACGGTATTGAGTAGAGCACATCAGTGTTAAAAGCTGTGAAAAGTTGTGCTGCACAAATTAACTCTTGCAGACTGCCATCTACTGTACTGCATTAAAAAAAATAGCTTGCGAGCTGTGTATTTTTCGGTCGATAGGTGGCAGTAGCTGCTATAATAGGGCTTTGTGGAACTAATTTCTTCGGTCGCCTTCTGCCAGTTGCCTAGTGACTCCACTGATGGATTTCTGCTTTTCAAAATCTCATCTCCCCATTACGCGAGTGTCCAACTTTTACAGAACACATTTCATGATTTTTTGTCGCCTTTCCAGCTGCCTCATGGGTCGCATAAAAAAGTCTCCTCTCGGAGCGAATGTTGAGTAACTTCTGTGTCGTCCGGCGTGGTTATGAAGAGCCTTGAAGAAAGATGGATAAATATATTTTTATCAGGGTGGTTGGGAAAGGGAGCTACGGGGAGGTGAACCTTGTGAAGCACAAAACAGACCGAAAACAGGTGAGATGCGCAGGATTTTAGCTAAAAAAAAAAAACTCTGGGTACAGCTAGCGTAGTGTAGCAGCTAACCTTGAAGTGCTAAGTTTGTTTACGTGCAATTCGATAAAGCTGTGGAGTGAACTGATTCTATTCATATTACTTAAATAAACTACAAGGCAAGCGTTGTGAGCACCTAAAGGAATTCCTACTAATGTAGTGGCCGTATAAGTAAAAGTAGTATGTACTGTGAGTGGTACACTCCAAATATTTTAAAAGTCATTTTGGCAGCGGGACGGTTTCAAGCAGTTTGGACCATTTTACCAAACGTCAACCAGGATTTATAGTCATTTACCTTCATGAACCTGTTCAGGATTTTCCAACTACGCATTTGTTTCAAACGATTACATCATGGGGCAAACTCATTTTTGTCGCGGGCCACATCGTATTTAGGGTTTCCTACGAAGGGCCATTATGACCGAAGTTCACAGTGTAAATTCAAATAAATGTATGGTTGTCTCAGATTACATACACACAACAAATCAATGAATGACTAGTTTTGATATCAGTAAGCTGTTTTAATGCTAATATTTTAAAGGAGGGATTGGAAACAACGAAATGCTTGCAATATCTCAACGTTTTTAAAAGGCAATTTGCATTTTTGGTATTTATTTATTGAAATAATTTCAAAATATTGTACTTTTTCACAATTTCCTACCCTGTAGTATGTCATCAAGAAACTCAATTTAACCACCTCCTCAAAACGGGAACGTCGGGCTGCAGAGCAGGAGGCGCAGCTTCTGTCCCAGCTGCGGCATCCCAACATTGTAACATACAGGGAATCCTGGGAAGGAACGGACCTCCAACTATACATAGTGATGGGCTTCTGTGAAGGCGGCGATCTCTACCATAGACTCAAACAGCAAAAGGGAGAGCTGCTACCAGAGAGGCAGGTCGTGGAGTGGTTTGTCCAGATTGCCATGGCACTCCAGGTATGTTGCATATACATGTGAAGGCAAATCATGAACACAAGCAGGCCTGGAGTCACTTTTTCTGTTCACTTTCAGTACCTTCATGAAAGGAACATTCTCCATCGGGATCTTAAAACGCAGAATATATTTTTGACAAAGACCAACATAATCAAAGTTGGGGACCTCGGCATCGCACGAGTATTGGAGAACCAGAATGATATGGCCAGCACGCTTATCGGGACCCCTTACTACATGAGTCCAGAGCTCTTCTCTAATAAACCGTACAATCACAAGGTACCTTTATCTCATCTTACTGTTTTCTACTGGGAGGCTTGATGATTGTATTTACTTTTCCAGTCAGATGTCTGGGCCCTGGGTTGCTGTGTGTATGAAATGTCGACACTAAAACACGCCTTCAATGCCAAGGATATGAACTCACTGGTTTATCGCATTGTGGAAGGAAGGGTAGGTTTTATTTTTTTAATGTCTAATATGTGGATAAGGAGATGCCAGGCTTTTACTTTTAAGCGTCAACTGTAGCACCTTATTACCTATAAATCAGCAGTGATGTATAACCGTTTAATTACCGGTACTGTTTTTTTGCTCTCAGCTACCACAGATGCCAAGTAAGTACGACCCCCAGCTCGGAGAGTTAATCAAGAGCATGTTGTGTAAAAGGCCAGAAGACAGACCAGATGTCAGACTTATCCTACGGCAACCTTACATCAAGCGACAAATTGCCATGTTCCTTGAGGCTACCAAGGAGTAAGTTAGAAAGACAAACTGGGTCGCAGTCCCATTTGTTTGTTCAGTTTTGCTTCATCACTGTACTCAAACCGTGTTTCTAACGACAAGTTGATCAGAACCTCTTCCCGTTGTGTTGCTCCTTCATCCATTTCTGTTTTTGTTGCTCAGAAAAACTGCTAAGTCAAGAAAGAAAGTTGCTGGTGGCAGAAGTGACATCAGAAGCAACGATGTAGCCGATGTGGCGCAGCCTCAGCCAAAATCTGAGCGACAACCTCCAAGTCCTCAGCCGGAGTCAATTCCCAGGTTGAAACAGGTTGGTGAAAGTTTAATTGTAGAATTATGCTAGATGAAGGAGAAAAAAAAGTATGAAGGCACACCCCCTAACCAATTAATCTGATTTGCAATATTTATCTTTCATCATGCCAAGACATCATTTTCTGGAATAGTTTGGAGACGAACAGCATTTTCCCTTGCAGCATGAGGTCATAAAGTCATGTTTGTATGAGTCGATCGTGCGCCATGACCTCAAACATTTAAACCTCTTTGAACGAGAGCAAATGAGTCAATATCATCACAAGGTGCCTTTAATAATCTCTTGACTTCTCCATGACAGGGAAGACTTGTTAAACTTGACATCATCCAACGACACACCAAACTGTATGCGTCAATATTTATTCTCCAACTGTCCACTGTTTCAGCCTCCCCTGGAGAAAGACAAAATGCTAGATAGAACGTCACCGAAAACATTAGAGGGTTTCGGAAAGAGGGAGTAAAGTGTTGAATATTTTAAGATATATTACAATTAAAAAAGCTGAATGTACAATATCGGAATGACCTATTTTTACTGGGATGTGTTTAAATGTTTATTCGGAAGACTTCAGAGTTTCAACTATTGCCATATTTTCTGAGTTATTCAGATGAGGACACAAAAAAAGACACCTTTTAGTGATACTGACCCAGGACTACACACGTGCATGTAATGATTTGATGTCATCATGTATTTATTCATAAAACAATAAGTGTGGCTACATAATCCTATCATTACCACGGAAACCAATGATTAGCTTTCGCAGTAAGATGCAGCAAATCACCAAGCATATGTTGACTTTGAAGAATATTTTTAAAATATTTTAGAAGACAGAAAACAATCTTTATGTCGATCTTTTTGGGCTAATTCTATTTACGTTTATTCATTCAACAGAAAGAGAAATCACAACTCCCCCAAAATCACAATGGTCCCACAGATTGTAACCCGGTTCAGACAACTCCACCGCCCAGGCAGTCTTCACCCGATGTTCTCAAAAGCAGCATCACATCCATGGCAACCATCAGCAAAATCCACGTTGACGTGTATCCACAGGAGGATGCAGATGCCATAAAGAGGCCATCAGAGACACCTCAGTTAGCTGTGGCACGCCATCAGGATGAGAAAAAGCAGCCCTCTGACTCTTGTACGCATCTTAAGCCACCACTAAAGCCTGTATCAGTAGCTGGCAAAAGGGTAGGAGATGAGAGAAAAGTATCAAACGGCTTTCGTACATTTCGGGACACCTTTTCCGTCGTTGAGAAAAAGGTGGCAGCTAATGATGACAGAGAGGACACACTGGAGCTCCTGAAAGAAGCGAACATGCCGGAACCAAAACTCGAAGTGGAGCACGTAACCGATTTTGAGAAGAAAGCGGCACACCAAATCTCCTTGGAAAACGTGGAGACAAATACGAAGTGTAAAAATGATTCGGCAAAACTTGTCAACGGAGCTTCAACACGCCAAGCAGACATACAAGTAAGTTCAGTTCTCAATAGAGATGTCTGTTGGTTGTTTGTAGGAGGACCCTCATGTGTTTTGTCATCTTTTTAGGATGATTTGGAATCGACAGAAAAGCTGCTTGAAGCATTGCCTCCAGCAGTTGTAAGAAAATTCTCATTCTTTCAGCTTCTCATCACTGTTTGAGGAACAATGGCACCATTTTAAGGGGACATGGTTTCAGTGATTAAAGACAAAATGAGCAGGATCAATTTTTGGCACCATTGTGACGTAGATTGATTACACGATTCAAGTTGCTTAGTGGTTGCTACACTCATGGAAAAACCCGGATTGTCTTGCAACACCAAATAAAAAGGACATGACAGATTAATTCTTTTTTTTTTCTTTCATTGTGGCTTGGGACTTTAAAAGATGTTCATGCTGGAAAGTGTTAACTAATTGTCTCTTTTAAGGAACCTCCTGAACAAGAGTTGCCCTTACAAAACAACACGCAGAATGTAAGCAGTGCTCGGGTTCTCCCAGCTCAAGAACCCGCAGTCTCGCTTGAGTACAGCGGGAGGGACGCAAGACAGACCGATGGTGATCAGCAAAAGGTAAAGTGGTCGATGAATTCCTGTCTGGAAAGTTCGATTCACAATACTTTAACAAGGATGATACGGTATGTGTCATTTAGACGATAACTCGCAGACCTCTGCCTCCACGTCCTGTCCAACCGTCGTTAGAACCCAGGAAGAGAAGCTCGGAGAGCAAGAAATCAAATCAGAATGAAACATCTAAATCATGTGGAGATCATGTGGATCTGCCAAAGGTACAATGTTTTACTCATTTTCTTACCCGGCCGGGCCTTGACAAGAAGAATTTTTACACAAATAGCTGCCCCACAGTTCTGAGATTGGGCGTTTGAATCCGGGCTCTGTCCTTCCTGTGTGTAGCTTCTCCCTGTGCTTGGGTGAGCTTTCTCCGGGTACTCTGGCTTCCTCCCACATTCCAAAAACTTTGGTTCACATAAAACTCAGAATTGTCTTTGGGTGTAAATGTGAAGGTCATTTTTTTTTTCCCCATATGCGCCCCGCACCAGTCCACAGTGTAGCTCCAGCTCACTCGCAAGCCTCGTGATAGCAAGTGATAGAGAAGATGGATGGGTGAATAATAATAATAAGCTGATAATAAACTTAAATGTTAACTTTCAGGCTCGTCCTCTATCTGCCAGAGAGAGAAGACGACTGAGGCACTCGAAAGACATTGCCTGCCAATCAGGTACAGGACTAATATGTTTTAAAGAGTGCAATGACATTTGGGAGCATTTTTTCATTTGACAAATGCTGATCGCCCAGGTGCCGAAAGATCATCTCATGATGTCACCGGTTCCGAGGCCCAAATCTGCAACACTCCAGTTTCCAACTCTATTTCAGACTTTATTACTCAGACCAATAAGGTATGACTCACACTTGAGGTTCCTTGTTACTGTGAGGATATTTCTAAAACCATACACGACAAGTGTTAAAACCACGGTGTGATTTGTTGAAGCGGGAAAAGGATGAAGATGAACCCAGCTCTTCCACAAGCTCCACAGAGCATGCAGAGGGAGATGGCATGGAAAGGTGAGGCAGTAAATTAACCCCAGTGCTTTTTTTGTTTTGTTTGTTTGGGTTTTTTTTTGTTTTTTAGTACAACGTTCACGTTTTTGGACGCATTTTAAAGCACAGTGTTTTGCAGAAGAGCCGAATCCAAAGACATGCAAGATTTAGTCCACATGATGACCCAAACTTTGAGGATGGTTGGTGGAAACGAGGGGGACAAACATGGATTTGGCTCTACATTGCTGCCAGAATTCAAATTTAACAGGAAGTACAGGGACACCCTGGTGCTCCATGGCAAGGCTCGACAGGAATCAGAGAACTTGTCACTGGGTGAAATCCCCATAGGTCGGATATTACAGTCAAACTTTGCCGTCGTCACCGTTGAGGTATCCTTAACAATATTTTCCATTTGAAAAGGCTCCAAGTCTGGTCCAGCCAAGATCAGGAGGGCCATCGAGCTCCTGAGAACTGATGTGGTGAAGGGCCTGGGAGTCAAGCTCTTGGACAAAGTCCTGGAAATCATGGAGAAGGAGGTGGATGACGATAAGCGAGAAGTATGTTTTGAGAAATGCTCCAAATAATTCAAGCGCACTTTGGCTCCATGATTCTTTTTCCAGTGTGTAAAGTCGAAAACGAATCTAAAGGATTACGATGAAACGTGTCAAGAGGACAAAAACACAACTGGTGCTCATTCCTTTGTCTCTCATTGCAGTTGTGCCTTCGTCAGCAGATGGGGGATGACAAGTATCACGCTTATGCTGTGATGGTGAGGCAACTGAAATTCTTTGAGGAGGTCGCGTTAGAGGTTTAGAAAAAGAACTGACGTCAGAGCTTTCACCAATGAGGCAAGTGCCATGACAAGTGCCACTTCCTGTCTACAGAAAGATTCTCATTTATATTTCTTGCGTCCATTTTTGCATCGACACCATGCAAAACAATGACATGTAAATAACCGAGTATCATTATTTATAGCCTTATCTTGCAGTTTTGTATTTTTCACAATGTCTATGCAAACATCTTCAATTACGTTGAAAGGACTTCAAGTAACTTGCTATAATCGAGTACTTAGTTTAATTTATTATGTGAGCCAGAATATCATTAATAGAATAAGACTTATTTTCATTTGTCTTATACACAATGTAGACGCATTGTATCATAGATATTGACAATAAAATTATTTCTGATAAATTCCTCTTTTAACTATTCTGACTTTTTCCTTCATGTTTATTGTAGTATTTTAATACAGACCAGCACATGGCTTCCGGGTACCCTTTTGCATGCCCAAAAAATATTTATTGTGGGTCTTGGTTTTTTTATTGTTGATTGTAAGGAATAGCTATTTAGAAATATTTGATCTGCCTGTACCAAATACTGTAATCCCATAGTTATTATCCATCTGCACCATAAAACAGTAAACCATGAAAGCCTCAATGAACACCCGTGATGAACTTATTCCTTTCGCATGCAGTCAAGCCCATTCCATAATGCTGCCTTAAGTTTAACACGATGTGGTGAGGATTTCTGTTTAGTAGTGACAACATATCGACCACACACAAATTTTATTGGACACATATTTCAGTGTAACACGTGGGTTGTGAGATAAATCAAAAAAACATTTCCAATGTACAATGATGTAACAATAGAAAGATGATTAGGAGTTATTTATGCTTCTTTTTCTTTTGACTGGACTCTGCACTGGTCTCTGGTATTACAGGCTGCCAAGGCAGGGGATTCCTTCTGTACATTGGCCATGGGGGCAGGGTCATCTAAAAAAAGAAATGAGATATTAGCGTATGCAAATTTTGAACATCACCAGCGTGTAATTGGAAGTAGCCTAAAAACTCACAATGCATGAGACAACAAATCCAGTCAGGACTATGTATACAGTCCATCCAAATTGTTGAATGATGAGACCATACACAAATCCAACCACCTAATGGCACAAACAAACCACACAAGGTGAGAACTGGAATGCTGGGTTGATCTAGTTCTGGTCATGTAGTTGCATAGTTACCGCAGAGATGATGATTATCCCTTGGAAAATCTGTTCAGCCAATTTCTGGCCTTTATAATCCTATAACAAATAAAAGGAATTAACGTCACTGTTTGCACAACCCCTTCAACAGGAACGCAGATGTTCAATCCCTACTCGGTATAAGCGCTCGAACAATATTAGGATCTTTGTAAACATTCCTGTAACTAAGCAATTTGACAAACAGGAGCCAGACCGACCAACGACATCTACTTATTATTGCATAAAATCTTCATCTGATGAGGTTGGTCGTAGTTATGAAGACCAGCATGAATCTTGGCTAGCAGTACAAGCAGCATCACTGGGTTCGCAAACACAACCAGACAAGCAAGCTCAGACTTGATCTTACTCTGACACAATAGCATTAAACTTGATAAAATTTACCATGTGCGTGGGTATTGAGTTAAATATTGACAGCATATTTCTTCTTTGATCCGAGCAACCTGAGCAATAGTAATTTCCGGCCAGAAATGAAACGTCACATTAAGAAGGACCCATTTCTTCTTCATCTACATTTTCTGGCGGTTGACAAACAGCGTAATGTTGCATTTCCCCCACCTACTGGTTAGGAGTGTGGATCATCAAATATACCCACACTAATATTAAATAAATTAATAAACTGTCTCGTGTCTTCTATTTCTGCTTCTTCACAGTTATCGCATGTACCTAATAGTAACACTAATATTAAATAAATGAATAAACTCATATTTCTTCGACTTTCTGCTTCGTCACAGTTATCACATCTACTAACAATAATATTAAGTAAATGAATAAAATGTATTTCATATTCCTTCTACTCTTCTACTTGTTCACAGTTGTCGCATCTACCACTTGTATGCTTTGCGTGCTGTTAAACCCGCAATGTCCAATCCATAAACTCGATATAACTGTTTCAAATATTCTCATTCCGCCAACCTTCGTTTGTATTCTGTACCTACCAACCCTTGATTAATTAAAAAAAAAATAGAGACATGAATCTCTCCAAAGCTATATTTTACGCTCGGAAAAGAAAAACTCATGCGTTGGCCGGGAATCGAACCCGGGTCAACTGCTTGGAAGGCAGCTATGCTCACCACTATACCACCAACGCCTGCAAGCATCTGCACCCCATAATGTACTTGATACATTTTTCTATGTCAAAGTTGCAAATGGTTTTTCGTACACGTTTATTTCAAAGCAAGTTGCACTGAGGCCGATGGGCCTCCATAAACCAATTTTGATATGAAGAACATTTACATGAGCATGTATTGGGTTCAAAAAGTCATGAAAAAAAATAATACTGACGCACAGCGTTACATGGGCTAGGTAAATCATTGCCGGTAAATCTTAACTTTATTGCAATCAATTGACATAAATGGCCATAATACACAATTACTAAAACTACGGATATTTTACTTAAATTTTGTTTTTGTGGCATTGTGTAACAATCTAGCCAGTTTTCATTTATAAACAGGCACGCTGTGGACAACTATTTGTCGTGCGATTGCAGACGTTAAGTGTTGCGTTGGCATATTGGTCCTCGTGAGACTGTTTTAACTTTATAATGAATGTTTCAGGCTAGACTCGGGCGGATGAATGTGGTCAAATTTGAAAATGGTTTTATTTTGCCGCGTCGTAGAAGTGCATTAGCCTACCACTAATTCAACAAGGGCGTCTTTGTGTGCGTAACAACATTGATCGTAATTCGACGGAGTAACGGAAAAGGCGATGAGGAAAGGTTCGTGCAGTCATGTAAAATCGTTTTTTTCTGGCAATCGAGTATTTTATCCTAACTTGAAAGTAATCGCTTTATCCAAAATGTGTGCTCTTGATTTTATCTTCCAGTTAACGTGGTGATCCTTGTGCTACTTGCTGTGGCTTTCCTGATCATAATTCAACGGAATCTCCTGAGCCTCAGTGACTTTTTACACAAAGAAATACCACGTAAGTGTTTTTCAGCCAATTGCATTTATTCCACAGTTTCTTCTTAATGTCCTACTACTGTGCAGAAATATCATACAGCAGTGGAAAAAAACTGTCGTTCGTTATACTGAATTGCCTAATTGGTGAGAACAAAGATCATACTAGTTGATGGACCTTAAAGTGCATATCAAGGAAATAAATATTAAATAAATTTTCGATGCTTTTCGATACACTAGCACAAGATGAAGTAAAAATCCCTGATATGCTCTCCTACAGATACTGGGGCCATTCTTCCCTTTGAGGCGGAATTGTCTCGAGTTCTTGGGGTGGATTTGGAGAGACAAGGGGATGAGATCCCTGTGGTCTTGACAGCTGCTGAGGAGAGGCTCGGTGCTGCCGTGGCCGCCATGCACAGCATCTACAAAAACACTAAAGCCAATGTTGTCTTCACAATTGTCACCATGAATGACACAGCCGATCACCTCAAGTAAGACCGTGAAGCACTCTGTTAGTTTAAATAACTTGCTGACTAAAATACGGTGGCTAGGAAATGTCCGATATTGTCGCGCATATTTTATCTTAAGGTATTATAACCAAAGCAGAAAGAAAAAAACGCACTTGGGTTTGAATTATCATCAAACTGTGTTGACCTACAGGACTTGGTTGAGTGTGCCAAGGCTAAAAAGCATCAAATATAAGATGGTTCTTTTCAAGCCCGAGCTGCTGGTTGGCAAGATATCAAAAAATCCTCAGACGATCGACGCTGCAAAACCGGTTAGGTGACATTTTGTGACATTTACAGTACTGAGTATAATTGCCCTTAAGGTCACTGCATGCAAACTTTGTTCATCTGGTCTATTTTTCAGCTAACTTTTGCCAGATATTATCTGCCGTTATACCTACCCGATGTGGAGAAAGCCATCTATTTGGATGATGATATTATTGTGCAAGGTAAAACACTCCATTGTGACCGTGTCAACATAATCCAAATCATGGGCTGATTTTTACCAGAAAAAAAAAACATTTCTCTTTTGGTCTCAGGGGATATTAAAGAGCTTTATGAATCAAGTTTAAAACCCGGACATGCAGCTGCATTCTCTGATGACTGTGATTCTGCATCTGCTAAGGGCATTGTTCGAGGGGCCGGAGCTCAGGTGAGAATCTCTTCCGTTTTTACTGCAAGCCAACATTAGGATGTGCAGGCAGGCAATTCTTTTTTAAATGCAGTTTTTACTCTTTTCCACCAGTTTGGTTCACTCTTGTGTGTGTGTGTGTGTGTGTGTGTGTGTGCGTGTGTGTGTGCGTGTGTGTGTGCGTGTGTGTGTGTGCGTATGTGTGTTTTTTAGCTTTTATGTTGGTAGAAGGTCCAGAACAACAGATACTATACCAATTTGGACAGTTAGGTGTGGAATTAGATACACGTCAGGCTCTTGATGAGTTGACAGAGCATTGACCTACAAATATTTGTGCAACAACTGGAATGGTGGGTTGCACTGCTGTGAGGTAAACTCAAGTCGAATCGCAAAATACAAGCATGTGGAAAGGTTACATCATTTGAAAACCATCCTTGAAGTTGAGGGGGGAAAAAAATGCCACCACACATGGTGATGACCATCGAACAGGAAGTGGTACTCAGTGGGAATGAGGCCATTGTGTGCTGATGAAAAATGGGACATGTGTCATGGTTGCTTACTAGAGCTCAAGTGCCATCAATCCAAAAAAAGAAAATGTTTGGTGACATCTTGCGGAATCTTTTCTTAATTCAGAATCTTAAATCCCCAACAAGGAACTATGCTGAAGTGAGGTTTTTTTTTCGACAAAAATAATGGGCTCAGCCTTGACCCCAACTCTTTAAATGTTCATTAAGAATGCTTAAAAAAAACATGACTCATAGTTTTGTTTTGTTTTTTTGTTCACAAGAATAACTATATAGGTTTCCTGGACTTTAAAAAAGAGGCTATTAAACAACTGGGCATGAGAGCCAACACGTGCTCATTCAACCCGGGTGTCATCGTTGCCAACCTGACAGAGTGGAAGAACATGAACATCACTCATCAACTGGAGCACTGGATGGAGCTCAACACACAGTCAGTCATTCACGCTGCACAAATGTGGCTCTCTTTCATGTTGCTTGAATTCGTCTGCATTGCTTTTCTTTCCCCCAGGGACGACCTGTACAGCAAGACACTGGCCGAGAGTATCACCACCCCGCCACTTCTCATCGTATTTTACAAGCGTCACTCTACGCTTGACCCCATGTGGCACGTGAGGCACCTTGGTAAGTACAATGAAGCCACTGAGTCTGTGACATGGTTGAAAGTGACCACATACGAATCAGTGTGACGTCGGGTCACCCATTTGTCAAGTTTTTTTCATCGGTTGTAAAGTGAAATGGTCCTAATATTGAAAAACAGTCAAATGCTTGTAATGCTTATCTTTATTGTTGCAAGTATTAGGGGCCCAAAAAAATATTGATTCATTACACATTCTTTAAATTTATCGACCAATGAATCTGTTATTCGTAGTTTATTGCTTATAAATGAAATGCATTATTATTATTATTCTGCCAAATACTGGTGTCAGCATTGGCCTAGAAAAACAAATCAATTTTGGTCAGGCCCTACTGTGAATGTATAATAACTCTCGTCTTTTTTTTTTTTTTAAGGCACTACGGGCGCTGGAAACCGCTACTCGCCACAATTTATCAAAGCAGCTAAACTCCTTCACTGGAATGGACACTATAAGCCTTGGGGGAGGACGTCCGCCTTCACCCAAGTGTGGGACAGGTGGTTTATTCCGGACCCGGTAGAAAAGTTTCATCCTGTGCGGAGACACGCGGTGGACAAATGAAATTGAAAACATGTGAAATGTGGCAATTTGAGCAGGTCAAGTCAACCCAACCGGCAGGAACAACAACACCTCTCAGGACTCTAAATATACCAGACGGAAAACTTTCCCTTCAGTAATTCTCAATAGTTTCAGTAACATTGAGAATGATTCCATTCTAGACTATTGCGAATCCCTTTGAAATCACAACCATCCCATTTGAACGTTTTTTTGTTTCATTGTTATAATGCAGTTTGCCACATTTCATAGGTATCACTTCTATAGTAAGCTAAAATGCTGAGTTACCTCAAAACTTGCCGTGTAGAAGTAGTGTATCAGTTACAGGACACAGTGCTCCATGTTCGTTGTCAATTAACATGAGCGATCTTTGCCAGTTCATTTTCACAAGTTGTACATATTCCTCGTGCTACATAATGACTCCCAACACCTATTGTATGGAAATAGTGAGTTCTCACGGCGAGATGTTACAATGTGGTTGTTTTCCAAGGGTGCAATATGCAAACCACTAAATAACCCCTTGCAGACATTGCTTTTAATATTCCGTTCCAGGCTGATACAAATATATTTTATTTCGTCCATTAAACGCATTTTGTAAAAGTACTGCATCTATTTTGAGAGTTTTTGGTGACCAAAACCCACCTTCGTTTTGTAGTGTGAAAGGGCTCCACAAGGCGAAACAACCGAATAGCCTCATTACATTTATTGGGCAGCAGATTGGAAGGAACTGGTTTATTCGATCAGTGGCATCTATATACAAAATGTTCATAGATACGACCAAAATGGATTGCATCATACAGGACAATGAGTATCCAAATCTGATAGGTTGACATATATACAATTTTTCGGACTGAGTTGTATCAATCATAAAAAGCTTTCAGATTTGCAGCGAGTGGATGTTATGCATGTTTGTAAATGGAGGTCAGCACCTCCACCCGACTTTATGGACTCGGGCAAAAGTTCATATAAAATAAGTGTTGAAGTCGTAGGCATCGTCTGTTTCCACTGTGGAGGAGCCGATTTCGATGGGCACCGACTTGAACTGGATATGGGTTGTTTTTTCTGGAAAGACAATGCCATCCAGGTCTTAGGTGGGCGTTTGGTCACATGATGGTGAATGAAATCTCAGGAAATGGAAACAAACGTACCTTCAGGTAACCCGTTCTCTGGTTCTTCTGCATTTGTTGCCGTCTGTTCAGGCTGTGAGGAAAAACAAAAAAAAAAACCCGTAAAAGATGGAAGGATGAGCGCAATACTCTCATTAGAAGTTGGTTCACAAAGCAGGATCAGAGTTGGATTAGAAGTCTTCATGAATGAATCCAGACTTGCGTTTCTGTCCTCATTTCCATGCTAAGGTGAGACCCCAGACTTCTAAAACAAAGTGGCACCGTCAACAATGTGGAGTACCTCTTCTTTGTTCTCCTCCTCCGCTTCCTCCTCCACCACGACCTCATCCTTTACGGATCCACCACCATTTCTTTCTTCAGCGAGGTCGCTGACCACCAGCTGACCTTTAGTGGGACCACTGGACGTAAAGTTAATGCTGCTGGCCGGGGTTGGGAATTTGACACCTTCAGAGAGGAAAAATTACAACAACCACTTCGTCAACGATGACATGACACAGAACTGTCGCTCGAAACGTGCACTTTGTACGTTAGCCAATCCACGTACTGCTCAGAGTGCTCTCGTTGCCGATTTGCAGTTGCTTGTAATCCAGGGTGCTCCACATCTCTGCGATGACGCTATCTGTCACGTAGGCAGGGAGGCCGTGTTTGTCTGTGGGCTTGCAGTAGTAGCTAAGCTTGGCTCTGAGAGAAATCAAAACACGGACACACCTGAGAATTGCGCTACCATGCTCACACGACATTTTGTCAGCCTGGCGCAGTGTTTGGATCAGAGTTGGATTAACGGTCTTCATTGTGAAATCTGTGCCGTATATTTTTGTCCTCATTTCCGCACTACTGGTCTGTGGCTCATCATTATGATCAAAAAACGGGTTCAAAAGCTCACCCAGTCCAATCATCCAGAAACACTGAAGCGGCCTGCGCTGTATTCGGGGTTCCACCCTTTTGCAAGAAGCTACGCTTTTTGGCCAACAGGTTTAGAAACTCCGCGGCGTTTCTGTAGTTGGCGATATTGTACTGAAGTATGATCTGAAACAAGAACAAAAGGTCTGAGATGACTTTACAACGGCAGGATTGCATCTATATTCGTGCACTGGAATAGAAGTACCTGAGTCTTGTTGCACTGTTTGAGCAGAGTGCTGACAGCCTCCTGCACGCTCTCCTGGCCGTCTTCCACTTGCAGGCTCCTCAAAGCCATGGTGGCTGCCGGGTTAGATGGACAGGCCAAAATTCCCGGACTATCTACCAGATTCACATACTGTGAGATTTGCACCTCCTGCATGGATCTGACGGAAAGAAAAACAACAAGGCTCGGGATGAAGGTTCCCAATCTGTTTCGGAAATCACGTAACTAGCAACGTTTGTCGCCACTGCTCAATAACTCACTTTGTGATGCCTCTCTTCGTACCAACGATGCATGCAGGACTTCCCTTCAGATTATTGATTAGGCTGCTCTTCCCCACATTAGGAAAGCCTGGATGGAAATAACAGGTAAAAGTGCAATCGATGTGTGAGATCACTTTTCGCATTTCCTGATTTATACCCGACACCGCTGTCCCCAATTTTACTGCGAAATGCAAATTGAAGGTTTGTCATTTGCGTGTTAACCCATTTCGATGGCCGCCAATTATACACAGGTTTTCACCAGTTCACCCGGTCCTAAATAGCAGGTGTCCACTGTATTGTGAAACTTGAAATCCTTGTCAGGTGATTAAAATTCCCCGTGTGTCACAAAAAAAATGAGACGTGGATACCCGCAGACACGAGCGTCTTACCAACTACGCCTACTCTGAGACGAGTGTGGCCGTCCCTGTCGGCGGCGTAATGTGTGAGCAGCTCAGTCAGAAGAGTGCTTCCAAAGCAGGCGGCTCCTTTGGATTTGCCAAAGACTTGATTGGAGGCCTTGATCCTGCCTTTCCTCTTCTTCCCTTGCTGATTAAGAGGCAATCACACACGAGAGGGTGGATCACATAAAGAAAAAAGCGTAAAAAAAAAAAAAAAAAAAAAAAGCGAACGATCTCATTTCAAACATTTGTTCACAAACACACCAATGAAGCTCAGCGCAGAGCCGAGCTACGTCATTGAGTGGTTTGATCGTTAATGTCGGAGGTTGTAACCAGTTTGGAACAACACCACACGAGCTGTTCAACCTTCTCAAACCTCCATGGAACTTCAATGCAAATGATTCTGCCGCACTCTAAATAATAAATTATATATTTTTTAAAATTAATATTTCATATTATATTATTAGGTTCCCATTCACTGCTTTTATTTGACAGTGCTAAAAGTGACATTGTTGCTATTTCTAATCAGCGCGTGATGCCATATCACCAAAATCGCGTCGAACCCTACTAGGCATGTTCCATTTCTTGAGGGGACTCCATGTTTGAACGTCTTATGCCCCCTACCGCTTTTTCACGTTGAACTTGCGTTGACGCTTTGAAGGCCACAACCGGAAACTCCTGCTCTAACCTCTGAATCCACTCCTCCACATTTGCTCTTGGCACCAAGTCTAGGGCAGAATACAAACAGACCACTCAATTTCAGTGCCGAGAATGTGAGCGCGCGCACACACAAAGCAACACCGTGAAGCGTCTTGCCCATGTACCTATTTTGTTTAAAACAAAAAGCAGTTTCTTGTTGCCTTCCTTCTGGAGCACCAGCTCCTCCAGCTGTGGACACCTGCAGCCCAGTGGATCGCGCGCATCCAGCACTTCTATTATAACATCAGATGCATCGATGACCTGAAGAGTGGGAAATGATCCGATGAGTTCAATGAAAACCACTGGAAAAACACTAATCAGGACTGTGTTGTTACCTTGTTTAATTCAGCACACTGAAACTTTTTAGATTTCCTTAATTCTGCATTCTTTCTTTCTGGATATTTCTTATCCTTCAATAAAGTGACAAACACCCGTGAATTAACTTAAAAAATATATACCGTATATATCTGAATCCAAATTTCATTGCTCTCTTTCGTTACCTGGCGTGCTTTTTTGGCTTTGGGTTCTTTTTCTTTGCTTTCAGACTCCTTTTCCTTTTTCCTCTTCTTAGTGCGCTCTGCTTTCGCTGCTTGTTTTTGTCTCTCTTTTTCCTCTTCAATCTGAGATCACAGTGTGCAATAAAATTAGGGAAATCTTTGAAGGCTCTCCCACGTCTTCGATCATCATCATCATCATTGTCAAGCCAGAGTAGAGCTGTGGAGGAAAGCTAGCCGCAGGCAAGCCCTTTCAGCATTTGACGTCCCACTTTGTCCCTTGTACTTAGACAATTCATCACACCAGTAGATCTATTGAGGCAGAACTGCACTGATTGACATTTGCATGCTACAAATAATACTAATGACAATGTGGTAAATGTTTGAATAGTGAGGAAAAAAAGAGCGCACTATTGAATGAGTGACCAAACGCCTTCCTATACGAACCTGGAGTCTCCTCTGCTCAGCCTCTCGCAAGACTTCCTCCTTAAACGGAGCACTACTTGGCACTCCTGGATCTTTCTTGGGTCGTTTGCCCACTCCTTTCTTCTTGGCCTCTTTTTTTAACTTTCTGTTGTGCTCTCGGACCTAAAAAAAAAAAACAACACCACCTGCATAAAACCTAGCAAACTGCGCGGACACCCGAACTGGAAAAAAAAAAATCATCACCTTACCTTCTTTTGTATTTTATACCGTTTAGCACATGACAATCGCTTACTCGCTTTCTTTAGCTCTGGGAAAACAAGAAAAAGACTTTAAGCAGCCAGCAAGCGTGCGGTATATATTTATTTACTTGTACATTGAACATGACTAAAAATCTCAACTTACTTGGTCGTTTCATCTTGGACTAAAGTCGACCGTTCCAACGTGAAGCGCCAGACACCATATGCACTCGCACGTGTAGGCCTAGTCACATACGTCACTTCCGCCTTAATCACTGCACAATTTCTTTTACCGCCATCTATCGATCAGGAGGTTCACGATTAATAAACACACTGTTCTGGTGACACGTGCGTGCATTGATAAAACAAAAATGAATTACCCTATTCACACACTCACTTCCACTCTTATGCACAATTAGTCTTCAACTAACCTATACATGGAAGTTTTAGAGTAGGGGAGGAAGCCGAGCAGACACTTAAAAGAAATGAAGTGACTAAAAATCGAGGAGTGAAATATAATTGTCTGTTCTAAATTCCAATACTTTTCAAAACATATTTTTTGACCCATCTCAAGTCAGACCTGTGAGGCTTAATTTAGTAAATAAGTAAATTCTAATCAAACAGTTGCATATCTTTTCAACATTGACAACCCCCCTCCCCCCAAATAATTTCACCTTCAGCTTTATTTTCATAAAAACGAAACGGAAAACACACATAGACACGTTTTTTTAATTGTCACACAATACACGAAGTATTCCAACGTTACTGTGGCCAAAAGTAAACTAGACTGGAGCAGAAGGAAGAAACAATTGGCGATTGTCACGTGACCGAGCGTCTCATCTTTTTGGGTTCTTTTTGGATGGTGGAGAGCGAGCCATTCTCCGCGAAGCACAGGACGATGACCAAACTGCAGTTTTTGAACGTCTTCTTGACCGAGCGGCTCATGCTTGCTGCGCAAGAGATCTACAAGTCTGTGGAGGACACAATTTTGGAGTACCAGGAGGAAATAGCCATCAGAGAGCGGGAGAACGACCATCTGAGACGCAGGCTGCGAGATGCTGGGATTGAAATATGGCCAGGTTAGCGCCACTAAACGCTAACATTTGCACGGTTCCTTTCTTAATCCAAGTACTTGAGGGGTTTAACGTTGGGCGCTAGGTGTAGCAGAAAAAAATAATAGCACCCACAAAATAAACACAAGCACTGAGTCAACAGGAGATAGTTGATGTTAGCAGCAGCAGCAGCAGCTGCTGCTGTTGTTGTTGTAGGAGAGCGGCTAGCGCTTTAGCAACATTTGTTCTTGAGTGAACTTGCTAGCCAGTCCAAACCTATTTACATTTTAACACTTTTCTGTTGCATTTGTCATTTCACTAATGCTTTTTTTTTTTTTTTTGCGTGGAAGAGCTACTTAACTCTAGGTAGACCCAACACATTTCCCATACTGTGTACGGCAAGTACCAGTATAACTTCGAGTCTCCATTTTCAGCACACTAATAAGAGTGTTATAGTGACAAGAACAAAACTGTGTGATGGGATGTTTATATAACTGTAATCATGAGGAGGTGGAACCCCTGTTTTTTCAGAAGGTGGACCGAGTTTTGTGTTTGTTGTGCAGGTAATCGAAAGACAACTGCAACAGACCAGTTGTGATCGATTCAATGCCTCGAGAATACAAGGACCTGGATGAATGAGAATATTCTGAGGCATGAAATTAAAAGAGATCCCTAACCATAAATTGTTGTGGGGGGTCACCCTAAAGCTTCCAAATTTCCATACATGAGGTCCTTGGGTTATGATGGAGTCAGAATTACAAGTACATTAAATAATTGTTTGAAAAACACTCCTGAATTTCTTGGCAGTAAGTATAAAGCAATCAAATGAAAAACAGATAGGTACAGTGGTTAAAGGGCATTTGTCTTCTTGTGCTGCATATTACTAAGCGTGCTATTCATAACCTCGAAATGTCTAATGTCTGGACCATTGTAAAGCAATGAGTGTAACATGTTCTTAAATCAATGCACAATATGTTGGTAATCATTTTTTTTGTTTATGCAGTCTCTAATTTTTTTCTGTAGCACATCAGGTTTTCATAACAATAATAACAGTAATAGTAATAATCAAATATGTAATAAAGTAATGTATTTAGTAATATTTCTTATGAATCGAAGGTTAGGTTCAGCAACAGGTGGAACATTTTTCTGAAATGTCATAGCTGTGAATTACAACACATGGTAAAATCCATGTGTGTGGTCAAGCCTAAAAACAAAAAAATGAAAATACAATATCTCAATAACCTGATGTGCCAGAAAAAAAGGAAATGCATTTTTTTTTTTTAAATCAGCATGAAAAATATGTTAGGGACATATAAAGATTAAAATTGGCTGTTGACCACTGCAATCAGTTCCGACACTTAATAATCAATTTTATCGATTCATTGAGTTTGCTTTAGTATAATTTGATTAGCTCGGGGCTCTGCTGATTGTGTTCTCAGACCGTCCATCAATGGCGTTGCTCGAAGAGGAGGATGCTGAGCATCCGCGACGCGAGTGGAGTCCTAGCATGGGGCATGAAGAGCGTATTCCAATCCAAGTCAAGGATAAACGAGATCTCCCGGCCAACCAAGGAGAGCTCCGTGGCCATGGCTCTTGCAACGCTTCAGAAAACATGTTCTCACCCGCGCATGTCGCAAATGAGTATGTGCAGGATGGCCCTCACACATCTGCCTTGCCCCAGAGTCAAGGTATGGAGAACAGAGAGCGGGATCCTGACTCTCGGGGCTCCATGAGGCACGTGAAGGCGGAGAGTGGAGGCTGCCACCGGGGCTCCGTTTCCTCCAATAACAGCGGACAGCCCCTTGCGCCGGTCAACCCAAACTGCACCAATGAGAACAACATTGATATCATAGGGGTGGAAAATGGAGGGCAGATGGTTGGCGCCAAAGGAAACGGACCTGTGGCAAACAGGGGACCAGCCTCTCACATGCGCAACCAAGGAGCCAACGCAGTGGAGTGCCCACATCAGAAATCCCCCCTACAAGGCCACATGTCATCCTTCTCCTGCAAGGTTTGCGGTGAGGCGTTCAGTCACGTCGGCCACTTGCACGTGCACGTGCAGGTGCACACACGGGAGAAACCTTACCGCTGCGGCGTTTGCGGGAAGTGCTGCAGCTCCGCAGGCCGACTACAGGAGCACCAGCGCAGCCACACTGGGGAAAAACCCTTCCGCTGCCAGATCTGTGGCAAGGGCTTTACCCAAATGGCTCACCTCAAAGTGCACATGAGGATCCACACGGGGGAGAAGCCGTACAGCTGCCCCGTGTGCGGCAAGTGCTTCAGCCGCTCTGACAAAATCAAAAGGCATCTCCAGACACACACCCGAGAGGGGACCTATTTTTCAGGACAATGATGTAATGGTGCTGCTGAATTTTTGAATCAGATTCATGTGATTTTTTTTCTTGTTATTTTTTTACGAAAATGATTGCTGCCTGTTAGTAAGACCTTTGTACTGATTTAAAACTTGGAAATATGTAAATGTCTTTTAAAAAAAAAAAAAACTTCTTCATTCCATGTTCCCTTTTAAAAAAAAATCAGGTTCCTACATTTGACATTTACGTTACATTATGTCATATTAATAGTACCAGACTTTGATTTAATGCCTCAACCTTTAAATACTCACGTCCGATCACTGTGTAAATTGTGGGTCGCGATCCACTTCTCTGTAGTAAAACATATTCGCCACTTGGGGGCGCTCTTATTTCAATGAAGGATCAGATCAACTTCATCAACGGTCATCTTTTGTTCTTGTTTGACAGTTGAATTAGAACAATATCCAAGTTGTGACATCTGCTCCCTGGCTAACCAAATTAGTTTGTACCTTTTCTACAGTGACAGTTACAAATGTAAAAGCCCGAATGAGCTCCAGTTCATTCCATTTGACAAGAAGTGGAGGGTTAGCGTGTTGCTTGTGCTGCTGCACTTTCAACACGTCGAATCGTTTTTAGCCTGCAGTGAGATGCCTCATCCGGTCACTTGTCAAAGCCAAGGCAGGAAACGAATCCAGGAATTTCAGTGACAAGAGGCCCCTAGACTCTCAGTTTTGTGGGTGATTTGAATTCCAGTATTTATTTGCTGCCAATAAAGAGAAATGTCATCTTTTTCAATCTCTGAGTCTATTTACCACAGATGATCTGCATTTATCTGTTTGTGACTTTGGTAAAACATGATTTCTTAATCTGTAAATCTCAAATTTGACAGGACCCAAGAATAAACTACCTTAGGTGGAGCTCTAAATTGAATAATTGACAATAAAGTAAAAATGTTCACTTTTTTGGGGGGCTTGAATTTCAAAATTATCCATCCATCCAGTTTCCGATCCGCTTAACCTCACAAGGGGGGCGTGCACAGAGACGCAAAAAGAAACCAGAGTACCCGGAGAAAACCCACGCAGAACATGCAAACTCCACACAGGGAGGCCAGAGCTGGGATTGAACCTGGTACCTCTGCACTGTGAGGTCGACGCGCCAAACTGGGCTGCTTCAAAATGATAATTTAAAAATAAATGTATTGTTTTTAACGGGTTGTTTGGGAGACGCATCATTTTGAATTTATTTTGAACACCCACTCAAGTTATCAAATATGGCTGCTTGCCCTCCAAAGGTCTGCACGTGGCTGCTGCATCTTCCATATTTTATTTTAGCCTTATCATTCAGAAAAGGTCAAAGCCTGTGTTGTTGGAAAGAGATGCTAGTTTGCACTAATTAAACTTGTCATGTCGACTAATTGCAACATTAATCTCCAGTAAAGTATTGTGAGTGTGACATAAAATAATTAAGTGTTTAATGGGATGACACAACTCAGAACAAGTAGCATCAAAACACCCCTCGTTTTGGCTTCCCCTTTGGCTACAGAAAAGAGGAAATTCTTGGGTTATGCGTGTGTGTGTGTGTGTGTGTGTGTGTGTGTGTGTGTGTGTGTGTGTTAATTCCAAGGAACCTTATCCACTGCTCTGAAGTAATAAAAACATCTTACTCCCACTCGCTTTCCTGTATCTCTCCTCATCTGTCACATCCCTGCTCTGCACCATGCACTCACGAACTAACCTCTAACTAACCGGCACCTCCTGCCTTCATATTTTTTTAATGACAATGACATCAGCTTATGTAGCTCCTTACCATGTCATGTCATATGATTGATCTTCTACAAGGAAACGTTTTAAAAAAATGTTTTGCACCTACTTGCTGTTTGAAACAGCGGTGTGCACTATTTGCCTTTGAAAAATTCTCATGAAAAAGAAAGAAAGAAAAGGGGGGGAAAGTAAATGTCGTCTGAGACTCTTCATGTGCAGCTCCAAACAGTCGGCGCTTACATTTATTACGTTGCTGTACAGCCAAAATACACTAATAAATTGTGTCCCAACTTGCCCCAATTTTATTGCTCAAATTCACTCCATGGGTAAGCTAATGCTAGCTACAGAACACAGATTGGCTGCTTGTATTTTCTCACTGTTGTAAGAAATGAAAAACTATGTCCTTTGGTCTTTACACAAACTTTACGAACCCCAATGTGTACTCTGGCCGATACTTTGATGTAACATGATTAAAAAAAAAACAAAAAAAAAAACGGGGAGGAGAATGAGAGTGAAAGAGAGGGAAGGCAAATGGGAAGTCTCGGTTGGAGTCTTGGTTCAGTGGGCACAGAGTTTAGTGGCCCTCATTAGGACAGAAGCTTCATAAAAGAGCATGCTCACTAACAAGCTTGCAGCTTTGACCCAAGCGAGGCGACAAGGTTCACTGCAGCGCGAGGGCTTGGATGAATTTCCAACGGTTTGGATTTTGTTCTCTACGGGGCCTCCTCTCTTGTTTCCTTCCTAGAAATCATCGGGGATTATCATGAATAAAACAAAGCATACAAGAACATTTACCTTACGCTCTTTGCCCTATTTTTTTTTTTAGACAGGTGCATATCCGCTCAGGCACGTCTTCACTTTCATGCAAGTCCTAGTTTATCATGTTTGGGATTTTGACACAACGCGCTGGGCCTTGCTAGGTGATCCGGCCACCCGAGGGCGTTTTCTATAACGCACCTTCGGCGAACGTAACTGAAAGTAGACACGGCCTTGGAATAGGTGGACTCCTTGTAGGAGATGGGCGCACGCTATGTACGTTTATAAGGAACTGCAAGATCAGAACTTGCGGATGATGTAAAGTTGGCCGCATTAAAGTGGTCACTTGGAGAAGGCCTTGCACCAACTATCATGCATCTGTGTGTGAATTTGATTGTAGATCTGCTGTTATTTGACGAAACAGTCAAGCTGACATACACAAAATTGATTGTCACATGTCTTTTGAGTTCTTCATCGCTATGTAGAGCATACATGAAAAAATACCGGAATCTTTGAAAAGGTTGCATGAAACCTGGTTTTGATATGTCAGGGTTAGATCTTTTGTATGGCCAAACCTCTTTTGTTGCTGTGAAGCTCCCTACTGCCGTTTTGCCTTTATAAAGACATTATCTCTCGTGGCCGTAAAATGTATAACTGCTGGAAGGCATCACGTGACATAATTCTTTCTCTCTTTTTGGGATCTTTTAAGAACTCTCTCTCTCTGTCTCTGTCTCTCTCTCTCTAGTCTAATGCGAAATAACCTAATAAGGCACATTACAGTGAAGCTTAAGGGGTTGTGTGACAGCAGCACGGTTAATGTCAAAAATGCACTTAGCTTATCAGCTGTTGGCCAGCGCTCAAAGTGACATTTCGTTGATGACATTTCGGTGTGTCCTTTAAACAATACCAGGAAGACCCATTCTACGGTTACAGAAGTGATGGAAAAACTGCCGCGTCTCGCATTGGGATTCCGCGTCGTTGTTTTAGGTGCCGATTTAATTGGAATCAACACGCATAGCAGGTAACGAAAATGTAGGAACGGGCACCCAGCAAAGGACATTTGGTACGTCGAGGTCAGTCAAGCAGCCAGGAGGAATTCTGTTGTGTTAAAGTGCTGCTGCAGGCTGCATCACAATAAGCTTCAGAGCTTGGCTGGCCGGAGTGGATAAGCGAGAAAGGGAGAGGAAGAGGAAATTGGAAAAAATAAGGGCAGGTAAGAGAAGCATTAAAAAAAAAAAAAAAAAAAGAAAAAAAGTAAACCAACTTAATATCGAATTGTTCAATCTCAGTCTGAATTTAATTCATCCTTTTAGCTACGGAAAACACATAGGACCCGAAAAAAAAACTGGTGAAAAATACAGTAACTTAAACGCTCATTTCTGAATGGCACTGTTTTCAGTCTTTGCACGTTTTCAGCTGTTACCTTCAAAGAAATCTGTGGTTTGAACTTGACTTGAATGGCATTGACAGATTGTTGGCCGAGCCACACTGTACACTGCAGCCACGATGGAGTTGAGTGAAATTCCATTCTCATCATATTTTTCCTCAGTGCAATTGTTCTATGGTAGCATGACACAGCATGACTGGCAAAGAAAAAAAAAGTATTTCTATCATTTGTCACGTTTGCAAATTCAAATTATGATCGTCCTTAAAATGACGTCTCAGTAAGTGCTCACTCGAACAAAATGGCAGCAATTTCTTTCGGTTTAAATGTGCATTTTCCAGTCTCCAAACGTAACGCAGTCCTTTGTCTTACATTTCATTCCTCTGGCGCTCGAAAATGAGTCTGGCTGCTTTCCGCCTGCGGAACCATGAAAAAAAGATTCACTTTGAACTTCCAAGTCATTTCCTGAACCTCTGCAGGCATCTGAAACGCCGCAATCCCATTTTATGCAATGTTGACTTGCTCAGCCGCGGTAAAGTATGACAAATATTTCCATGTTATGTGACATATCCCCGCAGTCGTGTTATGAGCGTGAAATGGCAATTTACGGCTGGTTTGAAATGAACGTGAGTGGGCTAAGGGATTGAAAATTGAAGTCTTTACAATTATGAAAAAAAAAGTAGGCTGTATTATGAATTTACAACTATCAAAGAAAAAGAGCAATATAATGGCAAAGCAACCCCCTTTTTTAAATGGAGACTAATGTGCTGTCATGACCGTGTTTCATAACCTTCATTGAACCAAGGCACATATTTGACATGGGGGGTGGGGGTGGGGGGGCTCAGAGCATACTACTTAGCAAAACAATTAACAAAAAGTGATTACACCTAATAATTATTTACCTCCTGGCATACAATGGAAGAACATTTGATTGTGGCTACGTCATAGATAAATGAACAAAATCATTTTTTAAGAAGAAAAATAAAAACGGACATAACCTTCACGTGGCACACTCATGGCACGCTGGTTGGGAATCACCTTTAGCCAATCAAGTTGAAATAAAATCCATCCATCCATCCATTTTCTGATCCACTTATCCTCACAAGGGTCGTGGGCGTGCTGGAGCCTACCCCAGCCGTCTTCGGGCAGTAAGCGGGGGGTTACCCCGAACCGGTTGCTAGCCAATCGCAGGGCACACAGAGACGAACAACCAACTCACACCTAGGGACAATTTAGAGCACAGGTGTCGAAGTCCGGTCCTCGAGGGCCGGTGTCCTGCATGTTTTCCATCCCTCCCTGCTGCAACACACCTGATTCAAATGATCAGGATCACTATCAGGCTCCGATAGAGAGATAGAGCTTCGTTTGGCACTGATGTGAAGCCGCTCGGACAGTGGATTCAAACGCCACGAAGCTGCTGGCACTCAGTTTTGCGTTCATACCAATACCAGCGGAGGTTTAGAACAGTAATCAAGTTAGCAATGGGCTGATAATTAACCATTTGTCCAGCCATCTGCTTCCATTGAGGATCGCCACATAGATAGACATCAACATTCATATCAGACATGGTTCCAACCTGAGTGCATCAAGATGTTTCACACCCTTTGCATTTTACAACACAGAATGCATAGCAGAAATATCAACATTATATCCAGACACCACAAGAGCAAGGGTAATGAAGCCCAGACGGTTGCAACTGATTGGCCTGAAACATTTTACCTTCATAATCACCCATGCGCAGGTGGTATAATGGGCACCGTCAAAACCAAGTAATGTTGTTTTTCTTCCATTAAATCACAATTATTGGTGACGAGGGAGCTGGCTGGTAAATTAACCGTGCCTCCTCAAAGCCACAAATGGGGCGCTGACTCACAGGAACACTACTTTGCCTTCGG